ATGTGTTCTGAGAATTAAACCCAGGTCCTCTGCAAAAGCATACATACTTTTCACCATTGCGCCATTTGTTCATAGAAAGAAATTTTGAAGAAAATTAGTTCATATCATTTATCCTCAAATTTAGAGCATTTCCTAGTATTGCCATCATGCTATTGGTGGGTTCATTCTGGTAAACTGAAGCCTGTCATTGGGTCTTTTTCTTCATACTAAGACATAAAGCAGTACAGACTCGCAAAGCAAAGAATAGAAAGTTTGTTCCCAGCTTGGCAATTGGCATCAGAACTTGGAGCGTCTTATGATAATATTGGCAATCATTAAGTGTGTCTGAGACTCAACTGCCTAACAATGGTTCCAGGGCTATACTGCAGAGGCTATTGAAGGATATTTCTCAAGACTGTTGGAGCAGCGAGCTTCTCACAGTGTGAATCTGAGGTCCACAAATCTTGTGGACCTCAAGGGAATTTTTGTTCCCAGTTCCTTTGACAAAGGTTGGGTCTGTTGAAAAGTATCTCTAGTCTGCCTCTCCTCTTCTTACCCTCCTCCATGGTAGGATAACTAAATCTAGCTGTATGAAAGAAGAAACTGGGGGTGTTAAACTCAAGTCCTCTACATTTATATTTGTATTTGTTTGCCTGTGAGAAAATGAGAATGCTGTCTATTCTCCTGAACCAGAATTACAGGCAAACATGATGATCAGAGGCTTCATTGTGTTGGAGAGGTTGGCTATTCTAGAGAAAGTTAGTCAAGGTTTGGTGTACTCTATTCAGAATGGCTCAAGTTGTCTTTTGATTTGCATGCTTCATTATTCCATTTGCAAGTGTTTTCTGTGTCAGGTGAGAAAGGGTGGTATTATTTTTGAACCTATACAATTCAAACAACTGTAATTTGTATTGCGCATGGCCACTATAACAGCGTCATCCTCACTGGCCACAGAGCTCATTTCTAGAGCACCTGACCCAGAGGCCACTAGCAGGCATTGTGGTGACTCTAGAGGAGCTAAAGTAGAGGACTGTGTGGCAGTCGGTGTGCCAAAGAAAATGTTCAGGCTCAGGCTTTGAACCATCATCAATCCTTACTATACCAGGCAGATAATGAAAAAGTGAAAAGGTGGGGCTCAACCTTCTCTTGTATAAATTAGCTAACAACAATAGTGAGCATGGGATTCTAGGAAATTCTGGGATGTTTGTCCAAAAAAGCAGCCACTAATGACTACATGACTACAGTAGAGTCCAAATTTAACACGTGTTTTATGAAATGTGGGAGCCTACAGTGACTCCACTCCATTTTGACTTAAGGTCAGAGAGTTCAAGCTTGTTCTTACTCCTCAAGGCCAAAATGACAGGCTGTTTGACTAAAGGTGTCGTTACTAGATGTTTTGAACGTTAAGGAGGTAATTACACTTGATTTTTCCTTGTTTCATGATGAGGAAGTCTTCCACCCCTCACCTTTTCCTTTGAGTATAAAAGGGGTTTGAGAAATAAATTTGGGGCTGCTACAGTGTTCCCTGAGAGCCCTCCTGATTCTATCTTCTGCCTTTTGTCTCTTTCTTTCTTAATCCTCACTCCCCTATTCAGGTACTGTTCTCCAAATTACCTGGCTCTGACAGTGAAGGATTTGGTGAGAAAAATGCAAACAAACAAACAAAGATGAATGGCTGCTCTGCTCTCTCATACCCTCCCACATAAGGTTCCCTTCCACGGAGTGTCCTCTAAGGTGACACTGGGACAGACTGCAAGGCTGGCAGTCAAGGATGCAATTCTGGGTTGGAGAAAGCCTCTGCCTCCAGACTCTTTGTGAGTCACCCAGATGGGGCATCTGAGTGTATCTCTATGACAATGTAATTATTCCGACTGAGGAATATGTACTTGATGAAAACAAACAAACAACAATCAAAAACACAACCCTCAAACCTAAAGGAGAATATTCAATAAGTCAGTGCTGATCAGGGGCCAAGTTTTAAGCACAGAAAAAAATGGGGAAGGCACTTTGCAGGCCTCTTGACTCTGCCCTGTTAGCACTTCTAAGCCTCTACCTCGAAGTTGGTTGGGTAGCTTTGTGCTCTGATTGAAAAAAAAAAAAAATAAGTAATGGAACCATTGTAGGAAGCTCAGAACAGCTATTGGAAAAGGCTTTTCTGTAACCTAGTCCCGTCTTTCCTTGCCTCTGTGATAGGGAGTTCAAGGCAGGGCTCTGAGGAGCACAGTCAAGCTCTCCAAGCAGGGGAGCCTCCAACTTTAAAATTCCACAAAAATATCACCAGGTAAATTTATAAAGTCTTTGGGGAGCCCAGAATATGACCTTGCTTCCTATAATAAAAAAAATGAACCAACAACAAAAGAATTAGAATAAGATGTCCAATCATTTGTTGAACTTCTTTCTAAAAGTATTGCTTATTTACTTTTATTTACTTATTTTTATATGTATGAATGATTTGCCCATAAGTATGTCTATGCAATATTTGCATGCTTGGTGCCCAACATCCCACCAAGGGTGTTGGATGCCCTTGGACTGGAATTATGACAGTTGTGAGCTGCCACGTGTGTGCTGAGAATCAAACCCGACTCCTCCAGAAGAACAGTCAGTGCTCTGAAACATTAAGCCATCTCTCCAGCCCTTACATTCATTTTATTTTTATTTAAAATATAATTATATCATTTTCCTGTTCTGTCCCCTCCTTCCAACACATCTAATATCCTTTAACTCCCTCTCAAATTTGTGGCCTCTTTTTATTTAAATATTGTTGTTACATACAAATATATAAATGAAAACTGCTGTATCCCCTTAGTTGTATATGTGTTGTGCGGGCTGGCTAGTTGATATTGGAGAGCCAACTGGGGTCCCGTCTGGGGAAGACTGGATATCCTTCTCTCAGCAGTTATTAATTGCCTGCAGTTCTTTATCTGGGAGTAGGGCTACATGAGATAAATTTCCTCAATCTATGATTGAGTGTAATATAGTGTTGACATTGTTCAGATATTGTATATAAAGCCATATTTTTGATATTTCATGGTGTAGTTCCTGTCTTATCTAGAAAACATAATCTTGCAGCTGACTTCCTGGTTTTGTCATCTTTCTACTACCTCTCCCATGGTGAGCCTTAGGTGTAGGGATTGCATTGTAGATCAGTCACTTGGACCTGGACACCCAACTGTCAGTTATGCTCTGAAATTTGACCAGCTGTGGCTTTCTGTAAGATTCTCCATCTGCCTCAAAAAGAAGCTTCTCTGATGAGGGATGAGGTCTGCATTTATTTGTAGGTGTATGGATAGTGTTTTGAATGCAGGTAGGAATTATACTGGTTTAGGAAAGTGGTGGTAATAGGCTCTCCTCTAAGATCTATGGTCTCACCAGCCATGGGTAGTTGGGATGTCTCCAGTATTAGGAATGATTTCACTTCTGCTGCGTGGCCCTTAAGTTCAGTTAGACATCTGTTGGTACTGCCATGATGGATGTGCTCCTATTGCATTGTTTAGGGCTCTCTTGCCATGCTGGTTATTGTCTAGATTGTTAAGTTTTACAACCAGGTAATAATATTGTTTGCTTTCCTCCCTTTCCAACTTCTAGAGAGATTTCTGGTACTATGAAATCTAGTTCTCAGGCAGGGGGCTTTTAGGTCGGATCTAGCTCGATTCTGAGGTGTCATGTGTCGAAAGTGTGTGGTTTCTTCATCCATGAGTACTTGCTTCCAACTTCTGGGGGAAATGAACGGCAACAATAGCCTAGATTGTTTTGGGAGTGTCTTAGACTCTCCTGACCAACAATTTGAAAGGAAATTTCTCATGCCTGGTACTGGAGTTTTTATTAGATATTTTATGGCTGTTGGGGGAGCATTATTACCCTACATGGCATAAATTCATTTTAAGGACACACACAGACACAGGGACTTTTAAGTAAATATAAAACAATATTATGCCCTTGGGCTCTTCAAAGCCCAGTGTTATTTATCCTTTCTCTCTCCCTTTTCTTTTTGTTCATAGTTTATTTTATAACTCCTTGTATGACGTGGTAGATCATAGGTACATCCTATGATGTTATGACCTGATTCTGAGTGTTTCCTATGTAATTGCATTTAGTCTTCCCTCCTAACTCCTGTAGCCACTTTCTGCCATCTTTGTGTGTGGATGTCAGGATGCTTCAGACCATCAAGATCCATCATCAGAAAGGTGGTACAAAAAGGACACAGGCATATACACATACACGCATGCTTATACACACCCATACACAATCACACACAGGCATACAGAGACACACGTATACACAGAGTGACACACATATACACAAAGACACCCACGCTTCCATACACACAGGCGCATATACCAGCACTAATGCCAGAGAGAAATGAGTGCTATGGCTGACCTTCCACCGTTGAGAATATTTCTATCCCTAACTTCCAAGCCTGCCTGTCATTTGTTTCTCTCTATTGCCTTGACATAACAGAAATCATATTACTCCCCTATGCTCTCCACAGATAGATGGTCAAGACTCATTTAACTGAGTAGGATAACAGCAGCAACGACAGCAACAACAATAGTAATAGTACAAGACATTGGAGGAAGACGAGCAGGTGGAACCTGGGGAAGGTTGACCTTAACTGGGAGTGTGGATATGACCCAAATACATTGAAAACATACATAAAATTTCAAAGAGTAAATAAGAATTACTACCCAAAGAAGAAGTGTGTAGTAGGTCAGTGGGTGGTTTGGTATGTGTGTATCAGGGGAAGTGGAGAGGAGAGTTGAGGATGGGACAGTCGCGGAGGCACAGAGGCTTTAAGAAATCCCTGTCTTCAGGGCTGCTTCGAGTCTTTGGATGAACCACCCACTCAGCTACCACAGCAACTGTTTATTGCAGTTTTTCTTCTGAAGAGGATTAGTGCTCACTTTTGAAAGGAGGCCCTCTGATGTTGTCACGAGGCCGTGCTCCACCTTGGGGAGACAGAGGCCCTGGAGACTTCAGCCCGCACTTCTCGCGGTCACATGAAACCACTGCCTCATCTTGCTATGACCACCAGGCTCCTTTTCAGCATGGTGCTTTGCTTCTTGAGAGCAGGTGAGTTTCTGGAAATAAAGAATCTGCAGTTTTGTAATTGCTGGTTATGGCAATTACATTTTTGTATTCTCTACTCTCTGTTTCTTTTCAGAACCAACAAATGCTGGAGTTATCCAGACACCCAGATCCAAGGTGATGGAAAAGGGACAAGAAGCAACTCTGAGATGTGAACCAATTTCAGGACACAGTAGTGTTTCCTGGTACAAGCAGACCTCTGTGCGGGGAATGGAATTCCTGATTTCCTTTCAAAACCAGGAGCCTATAGATAACACGGGAATGCCCAAGGAACGATTCTCAGCTCAGATGCCCAGTGCGAAGCTCTCCACTCTGAAGATCCAGACAACACAGCCCCAGGACTCAGCTGTGTATCTCTGTGCCAGCAGCTTAGCCACAGAGCTACAGAGTCATATCCGACCGGGGCAGAAACCGTATGCTTCCCCTTCCCGGCCCATCTCACGGAAAGAGTTCTCAGCAGTGATCCTGGGGACTTCTCAGAACAGGAAGGATGTCTTGTCTGTCCCCAGAGAAGACAAGAGCATGTGCTAATGAACACCACATAAAGGATGACTCCTGCAGGGAAGTATGTATGTGGTGATGGGGGCGGTGGGCAGTTGGCTCACGGGCTTCCTCACGTGTCATTCGGTGGGCCTTTCCTATGAGTTTTGAACCGAAGACCGAGTACAGGAGGAAGGTCATCTGCTGCTGCTTTTCACTACAGCTTCACCTGATTTTATCTCCTCCCCTTATAAACACCCAGCTTCCTTGAAAGCTTCCAGTGCTGAGGTGACACTTTCACTTGGTATCATGTCCTCACCTGTTCACCTCCACTTATGTCCTTCAAATCATCTCACGGAATTGTTTCCATCCTCACATTTTATGCCTCCAATGGCGCTTGACTTGAGTCCTATAAAATAGTTCCTTCGTTGTCCTACCACGTTTCTCTCTTTCTCTCTCTCTCTCTCTCTCTCTCTCTCTCTCTCTCTCTCTCTCTCTCTCTCTCTCCATCTCTTTGATGCTGTGGTTGCAGCAATTCCTGACCTTGTCAGGAAACTGCCATCTGTAGATATGATTCCTCCCTTTCCCTATAAACATGCATATGCTCAAGGAACACCCTTTTCTATCATGTGTTTCTTAGCTAGAAAGAAAAAGTGCCTCTTCTGCACTCTTTGCATGATGCAAATACCCTACTAGGTCCTTTCCTCTTGTCAGTCAGCACTGTAACTGTGGGGGATGTCGTGATGTACGTAAAGTCATTTATGCACAGGAAATTGTATATATTACTTTTGTCAAAATATTTTCTATTTTGGTTGAGTTTGTTGGCAGCATTTGTACATCATAAACTCTTGACAATTATAACTATATGTATATATATTCTCTTCAGATTGCATAAAGAAGTCAAAAGCAAGATAGTCATATATACTGATTAACTGGGAGAGATAAGCAAGATAAGATGTCCAAAGAAAATACTCTGCAAAATACTTTGCAAAATAATACAAGGAATAGGAGCTTATTTAATTTAAGAAAGGAACAAATCCCTCATGTCCACCTCACCCCTCCTCTTCTCCCCTTCACATTCTCCTAGCTCTCTCCCCCCTACCCCCGTGCTCCCAATTTACCCAGGAGATCTTGTCCCTTTCCCCTTCTCCAGGGGACCATTTATTCTCTCTTAGAGTCCTCCTTGTTTCCTAGCTTCTCTGGCAGTGTGGATTGGGAGCAGAAAGGTAGAGTTGGGGGAAGAATAGAAGAAAACAAGAAAGGAGATACCATAATAGAGGGAGACATTTTACTTTAAAAAGAAATCAGGCACCAGGGAAATGTCTGGAGATCTACAAAGATGACACCAGCTAACAATCTAAGCAACAGAGCAGAGGCTACCTTAAATGACCTCCCCTGATAATGAGATTGATGACTGACTTATATGCCACCTAATAGCTCTCATTCAGCAGCTGGTGGAAGTAGAAGCAGACACCCACAACTAATCACTGAACTGAACTGGAATCCAGTTTCAGAGAAGGATGAGTGATGAGCAAAGGGGTCCAGACCAGGCTGGTGAAACCCACAGAAACAGCTGACCTGAACAACAGGGAGCTCTTGGTCCCCAGACTGATATCTGGAAACCAGCATGGGACTGATCCAGACCCCAGGAATGTGGGTGTCAGTGAGGAGACCTCAGAAATCTATGGGGCCTCCTGTAGTAGTTCAGTACTTATCCCTAGCATAGGTGTGGACTTTGGGAGCCCATTCCATATAGAGGAATACTCCCTGAGCCAAGACACACTGGGCTGAGCTTAGGCCCTATCCTAAAGAGTATGATAGACTCTGATGACCCCCTATGGAAGGACTCACCCTCCCTGGGGAGCAGAAAGGATATGCGATAGATAGGGCTTTAGTTGTTGGGGTGGTAGGGGAGAAGAGAGGGGAGCGGGAACTGGGATTGACATGTAAGACAGCCTTGTTTCTAATTCAAATAATAAAAAAATCTGCAAAAAAATATTCAACTGGGGCAGGCATCACTTCACCTCCAAAAATTTCTAGTGATTGTGCACTGCTGTTTTTAACAAAAATCTCAACCATTCCATTTTATCAATAAAGACTTGGGAAGCAAATGCTGGGGTGAAAACCTGCTAGCTCAGAGAGGCAGAGAAAGCATCCAGCTGACTTTTCTCCTCCACTGATGTACCAGAAAAAGCTTTTCTCCTATGTTGTCTCAAACACAACTCCTGAAACTGAATGTGCCTCCCATCTACTTCCTGTGTATCTTTCTATCTGTCCTCCTGACACCCTCTTACACGTGTGTGTGTGTGTGTGTGTGTGTGTGTGTGTGTGTGTGTGTGTACTGCTTGCTTGCTCTGCCTCTTGACCTGTGAGTTGACTTGATGTAATCCTGTTTACAATATTCAAGCAGAAAGCTCTTGGATTAAAGGTGTGTGCCAGAGCTAGGCCATACTACAACTAGGGTTCTCAGTGATGAGGACAGAAAAGGGGTGAGCAAGGTACACCAAGTTGCATTTGTATAGCTTGTGTAAATTTCCAAATGCCTTATAAATTCCCATGTATGAGTAGATCAACCAGATCCTTTCTCAGAGGTTAAAGCAACCTTCCTACCTAGATCAGTTCTGAATTTTAAAATTTGGAACATGGCTAACAGTGTCTCCAGGTGTATGTCAGCCAGTCCAGAGCATTGTGAGAGCACCTCAGCTGTAGAAACTTTACTATGAAATTATTTGTGTGGTTTATAATAAGGTTACAGTAACCTGGATCCCATAGTTCTTTTTAAATGTTTACACTCAGATATCTCTCCCTTCCATTGTCCATGTTTTGTAAATCACCCTGACCTGCATTAAAATAATTTTTATTTTCCCTAGTCTGATCAGATTTAGTACCTAAAATTATCATCCAATTCGTTTCCTACTTCTTTAGATAAAATGGATAATATGACCCCAGATTTCAGTTTTCCCAAACTTTGCAAATCCCATTTTCCTATTAATTGGGAATGTTTGAGATTTTAGATGATCTGCACTATATTTTTTCTATGTATAAGTGGGGATATTCAATTTTTTCACAATACCATGAACACATTTCTTAGCTATAACTTGTCCATACCTTCTTTAGAATAATAAGCACAATGGAGAATTGATTTTTCAAATAGTTATATTTTGGGCATAAGTTTTTACTTAAAATTACAGATAGAGGACACATGCAGAGTACTCTTTCTTTTATTAAACTATGTAATTCATGACCGTAATGTGTAGCAAGCTGCCCATTTATTCTTCCACTTTTTAATATCACAATTACTATGGAAAATGGCAGCTACCGAGAAACCCAGGCTCTTGATGGGTGAATTGTTTGACTCCAAAGCACGGTCAGTGAGAGTTTAATTAAGTACTTCGACACCTGAGAATATGAACACTTGCTATTACCTCCTATCACAGGGCCCTGTTCCTTTTGTATTTTTATTACCTTGAACATCTTATTTTCCTTATTTAATTTATTCAATTGTCTAAGCATTTTGAGGTATGATTGACAGATAAAAATGACACATGTTTAAAGTTCTCAGGGAACACTTTGATGTATGTACCTTTATGATATGGCTACTACTTAAAGCTAAATAACATCCCATCATCTAGCTCCATTTTCTTCCTTTCATTCTTTTCCTTTGTGTGAGAACAGTTAAGACTTGTGTTCCTACCAGTTTTCAGGCATGCAATATAGTATGGTTCATCACAGTCACCATGTTGTACAACAGTTTTCCAGAACTTTCAAGCACACTCCAATCACCAGTTTCTATTTTAATTAAGCCTAAAGCACGTCTCAGTGTTACAAACAACAGGTATTACTAGACAGTTAAATGACAGAGAAGGCAGCTTCTTGGAGTAAGTAGCAATGAGAGTTTTCAGGTCTTTTCATTCTTCATAATGTATAAAAGCTACAATTGAATTCAATACAAATAAGTTAAAGGTGGTTACTTCTTTAAACAGCTGGCCTTCCCTGAGCCAGGATGTCTAGGATTTCTGTAGTTAACCTGGTAGAGGAAATTCTACCTCAATCTGGAGAGAATATGGCCCTGGAAAGTAGCTGGGTACTGGAAGCCAGAAAAACTAAGAGCAGAGCACAGAGTTCTCTGTGGCATAAAGAGGATGAGGGACCAGGGCCTTGTTTTCTCATACTGCTATTGGACTTTGTATATTGCTTTCAATTAATAAATTTTCCTCCTCAAAAATAACTTTATGATGTGAAACCCGTCTTTAAAACTAGAACCCGTGACCTATGTCAGCTATTCACACCACTCACTGACAAATCTGGAACAAATTTAAGAATGATTTACCTATTTATAACACAGTTCCCAGAAAGTTTATTCATATATGGCTATAAGTCTCTACAACCAGGAAATAGAACATATGACTGGGCTCTAAGCTACTGTGTGAAAAACTAGACGAGAGATGGAAAGTCCCAGATGAACATGAGACAGATGCAACAAATCCTGAAATTATCCCAGAGAAGCAGTAAATGAAATTGAGGTTAAATTTCTACTTTACACCTGGTGTAGCTGAGCCAGGCTTCCGGAGCAGCAGGAAGTTGAGTGCACTACTGCAATGAGCAGCGTTTCCACCCTAGTGAAGGCATTGGCAGGTCTTCCTCTAAGGGACTGGGTTCTCTCAGAACTTGCACCTCTCAAGGATCAGAGGGTGGCTTAGAGCTTTGAACAGACAAATGCCTTCCTTCTGTTCCAGACCTTCCATGGGCCCAATATGTCTTCCCCATGTGATCTTCTGTCTTCTTGGAGCAGGTGAGTCCCGAGCAGGAAGGAAATCGCCGAATTAGGCTGTCATGTACTCAGTTCTATGCCTTTGTAGCCTGATGTCAAATTGGTCTCCACCTTAACTCATTCAGGCTTTTTTTCTCTGCAGCTTGTGTGGATGCAATGGTCACGCAGAACCCAAGATACAAGGTTGCCAGGGTTGGAAAAGCTGTGAATTTGAGCTGTTCTCAGAATCTGAATCACAATGCCATGTACTGGTACCGTCAGAAGCCAAACCAAGGACCCA